GTCTTGAACGGGGCTCGAATTGAGTGACACTGTAGACCGGAGAAAGATGAAGGGCTGTTGGGATGCCTCTTCTTGTTATTGTCTGCCCTTGATTTACGGTGTTGGTCTGCCGGGCAGTAATCTTCCTCATGCCTTCGTCTATGGCATTTTTGACATACGTGCTTCTTTAATGGACAGAAGCGTACGAAATGCCAGTCACCACACTGCCAGCATGCTGATGGTGGCTTTCTGAGCGTGGAGTTTTGGGACTTCTGTGGAGACATCGACCTCGCGCGGTTGACAGCCTGAACGCCGTTGATGGCAAACGAGCAACTGGGTTGCTCCACGATGGCAGAATCATGCTTAAGATTTTTGAGCCGCTGACACTTGGTCGTCAATGTCTGTAGAGCGGAGTCTGGATCTGGCTCAATTTTGGAGAGCAGACGAGTCCTGGTTTCAGCATCACGAGGTGAATGCAGGGCGCGCTCAAAGATGAGGGACTTGAATTGATCTTCTGTCATCTCTCGGAGCTTGAACCTTTCACACTCGTGGTTGCCGAAACTGACGATTGTCAGAAAAGCATCTGTCTCGTTCTTGACCACCTTGACCTGAGAGTTCACTCGGACCGCTTGTTAGGAATAATCCTACGAATTAAGGCCTATACTACCTTCACAAAATGTTTAGCCCAGCTGCGATCTTAGTAAACTACGTCCTCGGCTGTATGTGAGAAAGCAGAGATCGGTCATGCTTCTCATAGTTTGATTGTCGCAGGCTGAACGATAATTGCCATCTTAATGTGGGTTAAATGGCAAGTTTCGGGTGAATTTACTCGTTGCAAACCACATGTGCGTTGCATTTACTTGCTCTCTTTCCAAACCCACTACAGTCCAATGGCAAGTTAAAATCAAGACGACTGCGGGTAGGTGTCAATGCAGTGGTAAACAGGACAAAATAATCGGTATGTGCGTGCCAACCAGCACCTAGTTCCTACCTTAGCTGGCATCTAGCTTTATTTGGGGATCACGAACCTCATAAGGATGAGTATCTCAAAAGAATTACATGTAGCAGCCACCTGGGCCTGACACTGTCTTAAGTAGAAGTTAATTATCTGTTCATTTTGTAGCCTTCGAAGCTACGACTCCTGGAACGTCCTGGTAGTTCCTGTGAGCGTTCCGAGCTGGGTCAGCCACGTTATGTCGTCATTTGCGCGCTTCGCAGTCAAACTGACGGAAAACGAGATGCGGCGCAACGGCATCTCACGGCGACGCATGTCACTGCACATATCACTTAGCCAAGTTTTTTAGTACGAAATTTAACTCCGCCTTATTCAGTGAAGAACCGCTTAATGCGCATACTGTCGTGGGAAACCCATCACAGGTTACTGCCCTGACCAGTTTCGTGGCTGATCGTCCACCAAAATGTCAACAACTGGCATTGCCGGCAAAAACAAGGAAGACTGGAGTGGCCATTTCTGGCTCATTAGCCGTCGTCAGTCAGTCATACCTAACCCCAAGTGGTGCACCACCCGAAACTCGAACTCGCAACCCTTTGTTCAGAAGTCTAACGCTCTAAGCAATACTATCTGCTTAGACTACTGGCTGCTGTGAGACTGCTGGCAATGTCCGAGAATGGGCCCCACGGCACAGCGGGAGGAGTGAGTTTCGTTAGCGATCGGTGAACGTTCATTAACGAAAGCCAACAATCTTATGCCCCTTTCGATGTACCAAGGCTACCACTACTGTCATTTGTGACAGGTTTTCCGCAAGTTTCCCAATTGCTGTCTTAGGCAGCTCCTAAAGAGACATCCACGAGATCAGAAGAGGTGATGGATTAACAGATTTTTACTACGATCCAGGGGCCTTACAGACTGAATAAATTTCGCATAGAGAACATACCCAGCAGTACAGTGAGATGAAAGTCTGGTACCTGCATGACCAGAGATATTCATCGATAAAAGGTTTGATGCTTTTCTTGAATTGGAAGTGGAAGCCGAAAAGTACGTACGCATACTTATTAAAGAGCCACCGAGTTCTTAACAAGTGGGTCAAACGAATTAGGAATACCGGACAAAACCTCTACAACTTGATGGTGCCTGGTAGTCATCTGGTGGATTCTAGATTGATTGCTTAGGAAATCCTGTTTGGTGCATTGCATACGTTACATTGGACTGGGCGAGTAAATTGACCCAAGTGTAATTAAATTCATGGCCTCGTAGCTCAGCTGGCTAGAGCGTTGGCGGTACTAAAGGCTTCGCCTTCTTTTCATAGCTTTGAATCCCACTGAGTTTGCTACGTATGTCACAACTGGGTCAAATTACTAGTAAAAGATGTTGCCGTAAGTGAGGCGTGCTACAGTGCATTTTCCAGATTGATGCGTCTCCGCTGACGAAGGTATTTAAAAGTGAATATAAGACCCGTGGCTTTGTCAAGTCCTTTGTCTCAATTCTACTTACCCAGTGTGAGGCTATTTCCTCGCAAGATAGAGCAACTCCATTCAATTTTTGCCTGATAACCACCATCAATGATTTAATACTAACTTTCAAGCCGATGAGTTAAATATCTTTTGACAGGTGTTCCCTTTAAAGGCAGCAGAGTTTATTTTATTTTCAGGTCCTGTCGTGATACTTAGAGAGGTGCGTTTTTACTATATACGACGATTTACCTTATCCACACAGCAATCTGAATGACCAATGCGTACTACGTCCTGCTTAAAACTGTCTACAATACTATTTCACTGAGTAAAATTTCACGTCCGACATTACCGCTTTCAGCAAGCTTGAACTGCCTCCTGGGTTTATCGAAAAGAGATAATTGAACTAACGCATTTTTAAGGCGTCGATGCAGATTTCGGAATCACTGTAAGCGAAAGCTCGCTTGAGCTTTGGAAAACAGTTTTGTATTCGGATTCTAGGTAAAAAAGAGGATTGATCGAACACCGGACACATGTTTTTATCGGCCTGCACTTTTGACCTTCTCAAGAGGGTTATCGTCAGATAAATAAGCCATTACCAAGGCACTTACTTTTATATTTGGATGTGGATGTGAGCCACGCTTATTAACAAGTAACATGTGACACTAAAAAGGGTTTGCATAGAAGAGCGGTATGTCTTCGACACCGTCTATTGCGCCGCCATGTTATTGGGCAGAACCTTTCAGGTGATCTTTGTGTCTTGCTATACCGTAGCTTCAAGGCATCGTGGCAGCCTGTCTTACTGCTGTCCTGTGGAAGCGAGGTGCCATGGACCATCCTAGTCTTCCACACAAGCCTTACGAACTGGCTGTCACCTTCCTCATCATTGAGACACTGCTTGCTATCCTGGCCTTTTGTGGATGCTGGAGTGTACGGAAGAAGAGTCCTATCATGATGACTTTGGTAAGTTGCCTTCTCCACCTCACCACTTTCAGACGGCCGCTGCCAACTCCATCCTCATTCTCATACAGTTTGGCACCCTTGGATGGACCTTTTCCCGAACACCAAAGGCAAGTCACTCCTCGTTGTACGTGTATGTCTGCAATAGAAGTAACGGGCGGAAGATATGACCAACTACTTTCAGTTCTAGAATGACCACCATTCTAAAGTACTTGAAACATGTGCTCTCTAGAACTGGCCTTGACTGTGGTACAATGCCTGGAAGTTCATTTGAGTTCAGACAACGGTAACCAGACTCTCCAGCTACCCCCGTGTGGTACCAGAGGGAGAACTGACATACCTAAGGTTGCTATCCAAGCCTCCAGGTTTTACAATACTACCTACGGTGCTACATCACGAATGAGGTCACGTGATTGCATTTCTTGGTCTTCCGTCGGAACAGCCAATCACCAGTGCCGCAAACGGCACCAATGCTCAACCTCTTGCCTATCGATGCTACTAGCACGTGTGGACTGGTAGGCCAACCCCAATCCGCCTGGTCAATCGCTTTAGAGGTTGACTCACACAAAAACCGCTCTGTAGATGCGATGATTACTGCCACGTCCATACAGTTCAGACACTGCCCCTTTCGGTTGCAGACATATGCTCGTCCGTCAGTCAATTTTC